AAAATACCGTATTATTTCTAATGTTTAAACTACATCCGATAGTATCACCGGTCATAAATTTTGGTCCATATGATTTGACATCATTGTTTAAATACGTGTTTCCATTATCACCATGATAACCCCATGAGCAATCTTCCCAGCCTACAATATAAATAATACATAAATAATTTATTTAACAAATTAAGCTGGTAAAAAGAAGAGTAAAATTGCCTGGCATTTTATTTAGGCTAGCCGATTTTCTGCAAAACCCAATTCCAATATCCCTATTGAATTTGAATAATTGAATTATCGGAAAAGCTTAAATAATCAACTTTTATATAGCAGAAAAAAACAATATTCTAAAGTTTACAACATACCCATTTTCCCTTTATCTATAATGTCAATTTCAAAATAAAATAAGCCACATTGTTCAGCAATTGGAAAATTTGCTCGAATTGCAGCACAGTTTTTACTTCCACCCAGACCTTTATATTTGTAAATAATTGTAGTTATGTAAGAATAAGTGATTCCATACGAAAACAGTAAAATATTATTGTTATACAACATGAAATGTCCTAAACTCACCTGTATAAGTCACTATAAGCTTGTCTGAACTTAGTCTTAAAAGATTACGTCCATCATCAATATCCCATGCGGTTGGTGATTCCATATTATTGTGCAACCCTATTAGCGAGAATGAGTTTGATTAGTGAAGGATGATGATAGCTTGATTTGTATGCTTTTTACCTTCTTATGTGGAAGCTTTAAATACGTTGCGAGTTTAATTTTTATTTAATTTTATTTTTTAAAGAAAAAAAAAAAACTTTAGATATTAGATGATGCATGCCAATTTTTCATGCATAATTTGTGACCAAAAAAAAAAATAAAAAAAATGTATATATATGTATCGATCATATGTCGATCATATGATTCTTCGGGAATTAGAATGTCCGAAATGCAGTTTTACTTCTTTAGGATCTAAATTACACTTGAGAGAATTTAATATACCAAAATTAACCTATTTGAATGTTTATGTTGTTTATAATGATTTATAATCCTCGAAAGATTTTATGATATATGTGATATCACTTCTCGTTAGATCCGAAAACTGGATGCAGTAAAAGACTTGATACGACGAATCTTATCACATTAAAGATGTCGTAAATTTTTCTGGCCGTATATGTTCTTTTGCGCACCATACTCCTTTCACATTTCCCAGAAGTTTTTCCTTAACTTCTTCATTCAGCTTTGCGCAAAAGTATAGCAAGTCGTTCTGATAGAGCTTTCCCAAAATGAAAATAAAAACGAAATAACTCCCTATTACTTTTATCTCCATCCTTTTTCGCAATATCAATGTCATAGTATAATTTATGAAATTGATTCAAAACCTCTCCCATGTTAGATCCTTCAGAAGGTTCACTTATTGATGATCTGCTAGCTGGGAAGACAGACAGCTCACGAATGATGATTTGTGCTTTTGTGTCTCTAGAAGATTTACGTGCATCCTCTTGCCTCTTTCTTTTCTGGGTATTTTATGAAAGGTATACTTTTTCCAGATCATAAGTTGTCGGGCATTTAGGACACAACTTACGTTTATTATCAATACAATCGAAATGCTGACACGGTCACATCAACCCTCGATAAAGGTTTCGTAGAGATTACTTCAAAGCACTTGGCGCACGTAACTCATCATATTCATCAAAATCTTGTGTATCACTGTTATCTGCAACGCAATATAGTGTCCCTCACTTATCAATTTCTTTCGCACAAGTCCGATGGGAAATATCACCACAAACGTTTAGAACGGGCGATCTAGGTGGGTCTTCTGTTAAAATGGCAATATCACCTTTTCTGAAAAATCTGGTTCTTCACGAAGAATGTCCTATGGGAGATACTTAATATATTCAACGCAATTAATTTGAGGTTCTGTTACGCGTTGGCTGCAGTTTGTAAACATCACTGCTTTGTTCAGTAATCAGGTTTTCCGTATCAGGTGGGACCTCTGAACTCTCTTGGTTTTCCCATGGTTAACGTTTTCCAAAAAAAAATAATAATGATTATGCAATTTCTCGCTTGTTTTTATAGCGCTAGTAGCGTCGCAGAGTAAGATTTTCACTAGCAATTATGCACTGCATTTCGTCATTTCGCTAATCGCCCTTGCTAATTAATAAAGATTAGCATATGTCACTCTCGGAATATATCTGCACCAAAAATTGGACTTGATGATAATAGTTGCATTTATTATATTATTTTAATAAATTTATTTCCATTTGATTATTCTCAATAAGAACTTTATTTAAATCTATATTCATTAGGTGACACATACACATTCCCCAAATCCCCAATGCATCACTGAGCTTGAGGCTAAGAATTTCGAGCTTGAGGCCAAATACTTTGAGGTTATTGAGGAGAATGCTGGGGTCAAGGCTGAGAATATCAAAGTTAAATTTGAGAATGCAAAATTATCGCGTGCTTTGAAAGAACATGAAGCCAGATTCACGAACCTAGAGCCGAGAGATAAAGAAAAGACAACTTTTATTGCGTAAATTAGCTGATGATCACAAGGAACGCAGAAGATATGCGCTGTTTGACGTAAGATTTGTATAAATAAACATTGCGCAGGAAATATAATTTTTTTTCTCACATTTCCAGATTTTTTGTGCTTCATGTCTACGTTCACTCTACTATCATAGCAATAAAACAATATTCGCATGATGTCTCAATGAGTCAAGCTCGGATGACATGATAATATTTTATAAAATTTGGGAATTATTCAAAAGTTTGTTAGTATATATAGAAAAAAGTGCTATGAAATTTACGTGACGGCCGTCACGGAAAAATTGCCAAGAAAAAAATCCGTGACAAATGTCTCAATCGGAATTACTAATTTATTAATGTAAAAAGTTCTAAAAAATAAACTACAAGATTCGGTAATACATAAACTTGTGAAATGGCGTTTCTATACTACCGTTGTTTCGTCCATCTAAAGTATCTATATACTAACAAAATATCCCAACATTAACTAGAATAAATTGGTCGTCAGTTTACATTGCCAGAGTCAGAAATAAATTAACAATACTGACCTTAGTAAAACTCACCGAAAGTTTAGATATTGCAAATGCGAAAAAAAAATATTCATCTCTCAGATGTCTTGATACAATTGTCCAGACGCTTAGCTACGACCGTCGTCGTGATTTGTCGATCGTGATGTAATTGTGCGATCGATGATGAAAAAATTTTCATATTCCCTGTTTAATTTGTTCTTCAATCCATTACTAAATACTTGCCAATGTCACCCTCCAGAATCATTCAGGTCTCCTACTTCGTTAGGCGTCGAGTGCAATGCAAAACAAAAATAAAATTTGCACCAGCTGGTACTACTACTATTCAATAAATCAACTTCCAAAAAATAATTTTTGATACTTTGGTTACCTTTTTTTTGACATTATGTATCACATAAGAAGATCATATTATTGATATTATTGGTTATTAAATAAATCATTTTTTTTTTTTTTATTCTATTAATTTAAAAAAACTCTAAAATGGATATAATGTTCTTTTTGAAAACAAAAAAAAGATGAAGAATATTTAATTATAATTATAAAATAATAAAACATGTATTCATTGTAAGAATCGACGTAGAAATAAACTTTAAAAATATTAGAGTATTTAAAAATAACAATTGTAAAATTTGTATAACAAAAAAATGTGTAACGTTTAGATTATTATCTATAAAAAAATTGACTTGTGTAACGCCATCCATGCTAATGTATTTTCCTATTTTCGGTATTATCTCAGAATATTTTTTTAGTTTCGGAAAAACGGATTAGGATTCTTTGTTTTCTAAAAAAAAAAACTTAGGCCTTTTCAATCATCCTTTTTATGATTAAATCGGTTAAAGTAGTTAAAGGTTGCGAATTCTGAAATGAAATGTCATGTTTTCTTTTGCATTACTTCCTATAATCATTTTTCCTTGCAGCCTTCTTTTTAAAAATCCTTTCTATCTAGATTTGACGGTTTGTAAGGGCTGTAATAAATTGAAATTGATCTTTTTTTAAGAAAAGGTTGAGAAAAAATTAGATATGAAGTTATGTAAAGATATTTTTAAAAAAAAATTTTTTTTTTTCCATAGAAGATTTTTTTTTTTAGAGCCCTGATTAATAATTACAAAAAAATAAATACTAATTATTTACAAATAAACTTTCTGAAACAAAGTAACTTCGAAAGTGATACAGTGATACAGTAAATATTGGCTGAAAAGATTTAATTTTTTTACGTTAAAAAAAGCGTAAAGAAAAACTAATCAAAATTAATTAATAAAATTTTAAAAAATTACTTTCAGTGAAAAAATTAGATTAATTACGATTTCCAAGTTCTTAATTTGCAAGAGTTTTAACTTTACCATTAATGATTTATCAAACTGATCTTTATCTATTACATTAATAGACTTTTGAAGGATAGATTGCTGTTTAAATGATGATTATTGCAAAAAGGCAATTGCTGATATTTAGATAAAAAAAAAAATTTATGGAGTTTTCCGTAAATTAAGTATCAATTCTAAAAATTATCAATATAAAAAAAATATTACATCCGCAGAATTCGATATCCTAAAAAAAGAAAAAAAAGAGGTGATGCGTGTGTCGAAGACGAGGTTATTGAACAGAGTAAATAAAAAAAATAAAAATAAAAATAAAAATACTAACCCTTAGAAGTCTATTAAAATTGCTATTCCTAAAGATAAGAAAAAAAACACAAGAAATACAAGAAATAAAACAAAGAAACAAAATTTTTCCTTTACTTACCATCCGAAATTTATTTAACTTTAATAAAAAAGAAAGAAACCCAGCTATCATAATATTTTATTATATTTACAAAATATGCTAGATGAATGTAATTCATATATTCAAAGTTTTCGTCAAGTGAGAAATATTATTCTATCAAATATAACTTCTGAAAATTTAATGATAATTCATAGTGATAGAACACATAATCCTAGAGATTGGACTCGCACTCGTGTAACTCGAGTAAACTCGAGTCAATTTCTAACTCGAGTCATTTTTTTATAGACTC